CAAGGGGTCGGGGCGTGCGGTCGGATTTGTGATGTGACATTGTGCGCCGTGGCTGACACCTCGAGTGCCGCTACAAAAGAATTATATATATGTATGTTCCGTATAGTAGGGCTTGAGATAGCGAGGCTGGCAGAAGAAAGTTTTACACATGAGTGCGAGCGGCGAGCAAATCTGATGATGATGCCGCTGCGCTCTCTCAACTCTTCTTGTCGCCGCCGCTGCTGCCATGGCTACACAACATCGATTTTATGTGCCGAAAGCAAATAAAATTTTATACCATTCCTCTCGGCGGGCGCTCTTTCGCCACTCGCAGCTCACAACATGCATTGTGCACAAGTGAAGGCCAAATAAAACGCGAAAGAGAGGGAAAGAAACGGAATTGTCGCATCGATTATTGCGCCGTGTCAAGTGCCGCTTTGATAGATGGAGAAAGAGTGCCCCTTCGATTTAACGCGGCTACACCCTCGCGCAATTTCTACCATTCTGAAAAAGTTGTGGTTTTCGAAACAACTTAATCAATAATGGGTTTTTTTTTCTTGCAGGGACAGATATTTCATGAAGTGTGCAAAGTTTTTGATTTAATCAATAGGAGAACTTGACCTATTCAAGGGTAAGTGATGTTTTTTGGGATAAAATCCAGCTTTAATGTAACGTACGAAGTCCGAAGCTGAATTTTTTTAATTAAAACTTGAAATATTGAATTATAAATTACATTAAAGTAATTTTCTGTTGAATATTTAGATAATTTTTAGATATTATTTTAGTAATGTGCTGTCAATTAAATGTTAATGAATTCCTCCAATTTCTAGGAAATTTATCAGATTTATAGCATAATTCATTTTTAAATTGTCTGAATAATAAAGAAGTTTCATTGCTGGGTGGATCCAGGAATGATTTGGGTGTGATTGTTGATGAAAAGTTACCATTTTGAAATTCATGTATGTTGTTGGGGTTGGAAAAAGGTGCTTCCTCCTAAATTTTCAGCTAAAAATATTGGGTGCTTTTCCGGGAAATCAGATTTTTCCAAAAACACTAAAATACCAATATCTCTGCTCCTACTAAGAATAAACGTATGCTCTTTTCACGTTCAGACGTAACTTTTTACGCCCGACAACTTTGCCACTGACAAATTTTGCATAGGTCAAAGGTCAAGGTCACTAAATTACAAATTTCACTTTTAAACGCAATTTACGCAAAGAAGCACCCCTCAGATTTTTTTTGCAGTATAGGAAAAAATGTAGCCCCAAGTGTGTAGAACAAAATACCTGATTTTCAGAATGGTAACTTTTACTGTTTAATTTATAATACTAACTAAATATTAAAAAACAGTAAAAAAATCGCTTTTCCGCAATAGAAATTAATTTTCAACCAGCGATAACTCTGTTTCTGTTACAGAAACGACAAAATGTGTAATGACAAAAAGTGTTTGTCTTGACTTTTTGCATCCAACCATGTATCAGTCAAGAAGGTCGGGTCACCTAAGGTCATTGACCTCGGTGACCTGTGACCTTTAAACACGATTTTGCTAATTTTTGAAATTATTTTTCAAAATTTAAATGGGTTTTATTATTTCCTACACAGAAAACTTGCAAAATCGTGTTTAAAGGTCACAGGTCACCGAGGTCAATGACCTTAGGTGACCTGACCTTCTTGACTGATACATGGTTGGATGCAAAAAGTCAAGACAAACACTTTTTGTCATTATACATTTTGTCGTTTCTGTAACAGAAACAGAGTTATCGCTGGTTGAAAATTAATTTCTATTGCGGAAAAGCGATTTTTTACTGTTTTTTAATATTTAGTTAGTATTATAAATTTAACAGTAAAAGTTACCATTCTGAAAATCAAGTATTTTGTTTTACACACTCGGGGCTACATTTTTTCCTATACTGCAAAAAAAATCTGAGGGGTGCTTCTTTGCGAAAATTGCGTTTAAAAGTGAAATTTGTAATTTAGTGACCTTGACCTTTGACCTATGCAAAATTTGTCAGTGGCAAAGTTGTCGGGCGTAAAAAGTTACGTCTGAACGTGAAAAGAGCATACGTTTATTTATAGTAGGAGCAGAGATATTGGTATTTTAGTGTTTTTGGAAAAATCTGATTTCCCGGAAAAGCACCCAATATTTTTAGCTGAAAATTTAGGAGGAAGCACCTTTTTCCAACCCCAACAACATACATGAATTTCAAAATGGTAACTTTTCATCAACAATCACACCCAAATCATTCCTGGATCCACCCTGCTGTTTTTATTTTACACTGAAAAAGAAAGTTGAAACAGAAAATAAAAGGATTAATCACAAGTATGATGGAACTTGTCATGTTTCATCATTTTTTTTCTTTTTAAGAAATTTTAGAATCAATTATAATATTTTAATTATTAGTTCTTGTTCAGGGATTACAAGAAATAAGAACAATCAGCAGTTAATTGAACAAAAGGGTAAATTCTAAGTGAAACATTGATATAATAAAAGCAATTATAACAACTTCGGAGTAAAATAAATGGCTGAAAGCCTGATGCAAACTTCTGCTTACATTCAGTCAAATTAAAAACAAACTGGCAACGTCTCTCGAGGCGAAATGCTCAAATTAAATGCCGGCGGTTTCGTTGCCGGCGGGAGTACCGAAAAATGAGCAAATTTGCAATTCCTAGTAGCTAATTTAAGTTAATTTCCTGTGGGAATCTTGCGGCTCTCGAACATCCATCTGCAGTCCGTTCCTAAACAAATATCAGCTTGCCGAGAAATCATCTTGGGACGACCAGCCCATTTCGAAAACGTTTGTCCTCAGCAAACATTTGATTTGCTGTTGGAAATTGGACGTGTTTGTTTGCTTTCTGGGAAAAAGAGGAAAAAAAATATCTCGTCCGCCATCTTTCGTTCTCTCACAAATGATCTGATTTATTTGCATAATGTAATGCATTTTTTTGCAAGAACAGACATCAGCATAAATATTTTTCCCATTACAAACGTGTTATCGTCTAAAAGCACCTAGGTGTGTGATTATATTCCACCGTGGCTGCCAACATGGTGTATTTTTTCTTTGCTTTCTAGAGTAGCGGCAGCAGCACCTGCCTGTCAAATCATGCAAACTTGATGTTTTTCTCGTGCCGTCTACTTACAAGTCAAAAGATTGCTATTCTTTCATATCACAAATGCCAAAGAAAATAATGTAGAATGCAATTTTTAAAAAGTTTTATACACACTTGATTATATTAATTTTTTTTATTTTTAAATTGTTTATAAGGGAAAGATAATTTTATATTTAAATTATTTTGTTTTCTTATTTAAATAATATTTGTCAAATTTGATTTTTCTTAACATAAAAAAATCCGTAAATTCCTCGTTACATTGGGTGTATTAATTATAGATGTATAAGATTAATTTATGAAATTAAAATAAATTTGTCTATATTGAAATTCAAATTTGTTTGAGAGAAATTGCTTTCATTTGCAGTGCTAGATCATTGTGTCAGACCATTAATTACTTAAATTTTTAACTATAGATATCAATAATTTAAAAAATCTTATAAAGAAATAATTCAATACAACTTAAAATACAATTGCCATATATTTCTCTTCCAAGTCCAATTTTCCACTTGTGTCTTCGGCGAGCACTTTTTTTTCCAGCAGCAATTTCAGCTGCACCAGCGATTTTGCTCGAAAGCATTCACGAGCCGGACGCTCGACTCGGAAGCTGACCAATTTGGTGCGATTGGCACGGGCCAGTTCGTCGGCCGTTTTCAGCAGCATCTCGTTTGCGAAACGGGCAGCGAGCCGTGTGATGGAGACGCTGTTGCTCGGCTCCAATTGATAGCCGACCCGAGGCGCCAATCAATATCTGCCCGAACGGCCGTGTGATTTACCTGTCCGTCGGCGCAGGAAGGAAGAAATGGCAAACAAACACTTTCTGGCCGCCGGCCCAGACCAGAAGTCATTACGGGCCAAACGCTGGCCGACAGCCTCTGTGCCTAAACTCGGCGTAAAACGCAATCCATGTCTTTCTTTTTTACGGAGACACCACTGCTATTTCTTTTTATAGATTGTGTGCTTTATTGGATTTCGGCGCTGATCAAGTTATAAAAGGACCAAGTCCGCGGGCGATCGCATTCATTGCGCTGCGGGAATTTTTTCCCTCCACGCCCGAGCATAGCTTTTGTTGGTCCTTTTATTGATAAATATGAGCAGTGCAAACATAATAGATGGATGGCGGCAAACTTTCGGGCAAACAACCGTAAAGGAATGGTCGTCCATCACTTTGCTTGTAAATAGACCACATACTCGTTCCACCACATCAAGTACATAATATAACACTAGGCTGACTAGGCTTTTGGGGGTTAGGAGGGCTATTTTTTATGTATAAACGGTATTTTATTACGAGTTAGTTTGGTTTCCACAAAATCGAGATAAATTTTGAAAAAATTATTAACATGAATAACTATGAATTTAAACAACATACATCTTATTTCAAATGGTCTTTTAATTGGTAGATAAATATGCACAAATTAAATTTAAATTTATCAAATCAAGGACCAAAAAATTAGAATTATTTTTAAAAAAAGTACCCAAAGCTGTAAGTTCACTTCTAAAAGGTAATCTGTAAAATAATTTATGTGCATAATTAATTCCAAGTCAATTCTTATATATTTCTCCTTAATTACCATAGTTGATTTAATAAGAAACTTGATGCCGCCTTGAATGCACTTGAGAAATTCCGTGCATAAATCTTTTAGCTGGGCGGTTAAGCTGGGATTTTAGTTGAAACAGCCGCTGGTGCCTGCATCGCAGAAATAAGTTGTTCCAAAGTCACTTCGCATACTTTCCGGCCTCCTAATTTATAGCCCAAGTTCAGATTTCTCGCCTCGGAAAGTCCTCTCGAAAGTTGGAAAGTGGAAATTCACTCTCGCCGTTATTATTTTCTTTATTTTTCAAAGATATCATTTTATTTACTTTGTCTTCAATGAATTTGCAGCAATTTTTATTGTTTTTTTCTGAATTGTTCACAGACATGGCGGACAGAAGGTCTTCGAGCAGACCGCGCAACCAGACAAACGCGGCCACGTCTTCGCCCGCCTAGCATAGGAGAAACATGGCCGAGGAGGCCAATGCCAGGGGCAGTCCGTCGCGACAGCCAGGTGAGTGCCAGGGTAGGCAACTGGATCCGCACACCTGGCCAGCAGGTTGCATAAACCTGAAAAATGTGCTTCTAAATTTAAAAAAGTAGCTCTCCATTGAGAGATGAGCTAATTGAAAATATTTATGAAAAGTTAAACACAAAAATATTTAGTTCTTTTTAATGTGAAATGAATTATTTCCTGATCAAATGAAAAGAAAAATGCACAAAATTGACTGTGAAAAATATAATTTATTTTTGTGTTATACTTTAATTAATTGGAATTTGGAATGTTTAAAATTTTAATTCAAGATATAATTTCTTTCAGTAATTCAATTAATTTAAATAATTGATTCCTAAAAGTAATTACGTTTTCAAGAGATTTTTCAGATTATTTTAATATTTTCTGATTATTTTCCATTTGGTCATTTTTATTAAGTGAATGATTTTTCACTAAAGTGACTAAACAATTTTTTTTAATATTATTTGCTGATCAGGTGGACAAAGAATGGCTCCACCGCAGCCACATCCACGCCACCGTCGCCTGCCCCCGGAAGTGGAGGACGACGAGCCTGACCTGCCGCCGTCGCCACCGCGAACATCGCCTCCTCCGCCAGCTCCGGAGCCGCGTCTCTCGCAGCTCTTCGATCGGCTGTCCCACCTCACCGAATTAACGCACAACTTGCAGCAGCAACAACAACAACAACCACAAGGCAGCCCAAGGCTTTTGCCTCGGAGAGCTAGAGCACCCATGTCGCCTCCTAACAGTAATTAAAATTTAATCTTGTTTTAAACTAAAAACAAAATAAATCAAAATTAAATTTAACTATAATTAAAAAGTAAAATTAAATACTGCATTAGATAAGAATAATTTTACATTATATTTTTATTTATTATATTAAATTTATTAAAATCAATATTTGTTCCTTAAATAAATAAAAAAATTTCATTGAATGAATTAAGGAAATTAATGCATTATTTTAAACACTATAATAAAATATAAATTTACTTTCTATTTGTAACACAAAATTAATTTGATTGGATTACAGAATTACTGACATAATTTGGGCAAGCTAATGGCTAATAGATAAATTTTTTCATTTCTTATATATGCCGATTCCAATTAAAATCTGATAATGATAATTTTAAATTTCATTAATTTAAAATTTTCAGTTTCTTACGGTCCAGGCCCAGCAGAGGAGCCTCGACCGAGCGCCCAGCAGCGTCTGCTGGCTGACTTGGAGCTGCTGGAGGCGGCGGGGGCAGCAGACGTGAGCTCGCCGGCCCTTTTGCTGGCCTACTGGGCAGCTTCTGGTCGACCTGCGCCAGGGCCGCCGCCGGCCACTGTCGATTGGCAGCAAAGGTGCGTCGAACTGGAACTGGAATTGCACCAGTTCCGCATGCAGGCTGGACGAGTGCGTGATCTTCTCAGAGACAAGGTAGGACAATTTTTTCATTATCATTTATATAAAATTTGACAGCTGTAAAGCTGTTTTTAAAAATTATATTAGAAGAAGGAAAAGGTTGTTTAAAATAGATAATAAGGAAGCTTTGAAAACAAAACAAAAATATCATCATCAAAACAAAAATATTAATATCAATTAAAAATGTACCGAGATGTGATAAAAATTTAAGTTCCTTTTCTTCAGAAAAGATGGACAAAACGTTAGCGAATAAACTAATTTATTATATTATTAATAAATAAACTTAACCAGTTACAAACTGGACTTTAAGCGTGATAATAAGAAATTCTTTGCCATTAAAACAATGCAATTTAAATTCTTTCAATATTTTTCTATAAAAAATAAGCATTTTGAGCGACCGATCAATTCGGATAAAATCTGGTGAAATTTTTTTCATTTGAAACAAATTCCAACACAGTTCCTGCGGTGAAAACCCCTAAAGATTTTGCCACCCCAGGGCCATTAGCGAATATTACCCCCCAAAAGCACGTCGGTCCACTCTCGCGACTCAATTTCGTCTAGTTACGAAAAACTGCCCGTCCACGATTGGCCTAATGGATTGTTATTGTGACGACCGGAGGTGCGGCGCAAATCTGGGTCAACGGCCGTCGTAAAGCAGGAATAATGACCGGCCGGTGTCGCTTGTTACAATTATTTCGTCGGGGTGCCGTGGTGGGACGGACGGACGATCACCCGAAACCGAAAGTGAAATTTGATCAGCAATAAAAAAGGCCGGTGGAGCAGCTCGTAAAAATTTGATCCGGTCGACCGTGATTGGTGCCTTGCAAAAAAAAAAACATAAAAATAAAATAAAAATATATAGAGAGGATGATGTAAAAAAGTGCAGTACTTTGAGTTTCACATTCCAAGAGCAATTTATTTATATTTTTACGGCGGTTGAGGACACGTTGGCGCGCCTAATCTGATCATTTGTTTGAATTGCCATAAAGAGTTCGTCTCGCAACTTTTTGCCCGCACAAGAGGAAAAGTGGGGCTAATAGAATTTAAATATTATTGTAGGGAAAATTGCAAAGATGGAAATCTGCGCGTCACGTGTGCAATTGACAGGCGGCTCGTCTCTATGGAAACTTTTTCTATTTCCATTCGGTTTAATCAAATTCGCCCTCGAGAATGAATTGAAAAGCCGCCCCGATAAATAGGAAATAAGAAAAGGACAATTTCGGCACGCTCTCTCTTTTCCTCCACTCGAGCTAATTCAATCCATGAATCGCTAACAAGCCGAGAAAGAGAGCGTTTGAATCCTGCGACGAATGCTGATTGAATATATAAGAAGCAGTCGGAATTTGTGATGATATTATGCAAATGCTCATCTTCACTTTTTTTCAGAAAGAGGTTTATATCTTAACTGCAGGGATGAAATCCCCTACCACCTCATTTCAATACAAATTGACGCAGCCCGCGGATATTTATTTTTATCTGCGTGTGGAAGGAAAGTTTATCTCCGTTCGAGTGCGAAATTCGCGCGCGTGCACCGCACATACTGATGGAAGAAGAGTTTTTTTTTCTTCTTCTCCGCCGCCGCGATTTGAATTTCCCTTTGGGTTTATCAGTCGAATTGATTTGCCAGCTTGTTTATATCTGCGGATGCACCGCCACCAATCGTCTATATTGAAATGGAGAAACTCTCCGTCGGCTCTTATCTCTCTCTCAAAAGTAGAGAGGATAGGGATGTGCATTCAGAATAGAGGAAATTGCAATTTCCTTCACTGCCGAGAAGGGAGTTGGTTCAGCCAATTTAGCACAAAGCCGAAGCAGTAAAATTAAACTTCCAAAGGCGTTAAATAAATATCTCTAGCGTCAAAGATAAAAGAATTATTGAACCTGTTCATTTCTCGCTGATAAATTTCTTAACTGATAAAAAAGTCTTTTGATTAATACAAAAAAATATATGGTTTTTAAGCTCAAATTATAAATTATGAAATTGTATGAAATAGTTAAAATCAAAAACTCGTTCTTAAAATTAATAAATAAGCCAAAAAAATTTTTTTAATCGATTTAAGTACGTTTGAAATTGATGATTTTTGTCTTTCTAAAATTGAAGAATATAAAAAGGCATTTTAATTTATTGAAAAGATTCCTTTCTCAAAAATTTGAAGTTTTTATTAAAATGTTGTCATTCGTACAGAAAATGGTTTAAATAGAACAGTGTAGAGAGAAAATGGAATTTTTAATGGGATCAGAGAAATAAAAAATATAATGTAAAACATCGGTTTGATATAAGGTAAAAAAAGTTAATTTTAATAACGGTCCAAATTGTTAGAATGAATTTTGTTCAGACCTTTTGGAGTGAATTGAAAAGTATCAGGAAGACTTGAATGGACTTGAATTAAATTAGCCAAGTTATTATAATTGTATGTATTTATAATAAACCCATCATTTTGAACTCCCTTTGAAATTTGAATGTCATTCATTTTTGAAAGGAAAAAAATCACCTCGTTCCATCCCCCTGACTGGCGCCGGTCAATCAGCTTGGTCGATTGTGTGTGCTTTATAGCTGGACCACGTCTATGCACATAGACGATTTATATTGTCCTGCTCGTCCCCTCTCGCTCTAGTGCGTGCCAAGTACCGACACATTCGTACATCAAGAGTGCATCAAAGCAGAGGCAGGATTGATGTTCGGCGCCGCGTGCAACAATGGGATGAAGTGGCGGCGCGTTGTGTTTTAGCAGGAAAAAGCATCATTTGAGCGGATCTCGCCCTCACTCGGATGGAGGAAGGGAACAAAAGAAAGGCGGTGCAATGATAAATGACGGTGGCACTCGCGTGCTGCGTTTCTGATTAGCACCATCATCACTCATAATCATTTTTGCAGGAGCGAGAAGATCTTGTTCGCATAAATTTTAACGTAATGAGGAAGTTTTGTCGGACGTCGATCAAACGGAGACAAGTGACAACGCAAGAGAGATGAATAAGAAAGGAGAAGAAGTTGAAAGTTTGACACGTTATTTGTAATGTGTAATTGGATTTTGTGAATTTAGGGGGAATAGTAAATTATTCATTGGATAAAATGATTAATTAATGTTAAAATTATTATGTTAATTTCATGCCAAGTATTTTTCTTTTGATATTTATATTTCATTACAAATCTAGTTCAAAAATTTTGTGTTATTTAATTTGTATTTTTAGCAATAATTTGGGAAGTGAATAATTAAAAATACAAATATTTAAGATAGATTTTTAAATTAAATTTTGGATAAAAAAAAAATTATAATTCAGTCTCCGAAGGAAATTAACACCTTCCTTAGTGCTTGATTCTGAACAATTTTTGATACTAAAACGATTTGTTAATTCTTTGGAATTAAAATCTACAACCTGGACGAGAGCAAAGTCGGTACTTACAAAAAGATCAATTATCAAGTCTTTAAAAATGGCGCGATCGTCGAGCATCGCCCTTTAAAATCAATATTTCCCCCGAGACGCCGAGAGCCGGTGGATTTTACGCAATTTTCACCAGGAGCGATTCGTCGTCGTCTTGGAAAGGAAGTTGGCGCTGCAAAGAGCCTCGCGGCGGCGACGTCGCCTTTAATTTCCCAATATTTCACAATAAACAATAAGCCGGGCGCGCTCGAGCGATGGCGCTGCCGTTGTCATCGTCAACAACAGAACGTCATTAGTGGAGAACAATGGTGGCGAACGAACGAGCACTCAGTGAGCACCAGCCCCGATAAACTGGTGCCGGCCGCGCCCGTTAGCGGCCACGAGCGATTTTTAATTACAGCGCGCGGGTGCGGCGACCCTTCCACAAAAGCTGACCAGTTAAATATTGTACGGCCAAGTAATGCAAAAAAATATATTTAGCAAAAGTTAATATAAAGTTACTTAATGAATAATTATTTTTTTTTCTGTTATCATTATTATTAAATACTTAAAATATATAAAAAAATCGTTAATTATATTTTAAACATAATTAATTATTTCTTACATTATTAATTTGATATAGCGTATCAATTATTTTATATTAGAATCTTCATTAATATTATTTCTTATCAAAAAGAGCACTAAACATATTTAAAATCCTTCGACATTATCAATTATGTTTTATTTCTATAGATAGATATTGATGTGTGGGATATCATTCCAGTCAATCTTTGATAATGAAAATGTTCATTGGCATTATGAAAAGGTAGACGAAATTGTGAGAAGGTCAATCAAACGTTTGAAAACACAAGAATACAGTAAAACAAGATAGACAATTCCTTTTTGAATACAATGCCTAATTTTAAATAATCTCCACTTCGTCTATCCTCATTTAAAGAGAAAATCTCCGCCTTGCGAAGTCTTCGAACGCAGCGATTCATCTAGATTTACCGGGAAAGATTAGTTTCCGAGTCCATGGAGCGTGACTTTACGCCTTTTCCATCATCGTCGTCGGCGGGAAAACGGAGGCGCGCGAGAATCTATCAAATGGGATTTCCGAGTGTTTATTTTACGACGTCTGCTGAAAAACGAATTGCATTTTATGCGTCGCCGGGATTCGCGAGCACTGCACTCTTGGCTATTAGTCGCGTCTGCATAGATAATGAGTTCTTTTATGGACCTCGCGAGAGTAACGGCGCCTCTTTTATTTTCCACCTAGAATTATATTTTACACGTCTCTTCTGCGACAGCGTAAAATTTTTATATGAAACGCGAGAGTAAAAGGGCCGTTTCGCAACATCCAAGCACCTTTCAACCGGATTAGGCAAATGAAAGAAGCTTTGTTGGATTTTCCTCTTTTTTTATTTCCTTCTTCGGCGCCCTCCAAGATGCGTTTTAAATTCGATATAAATGGTGTTTATCATACAAAGGCAGGGGGGCGCAATCTCGATCGGAAAAGAGAGAAGAAATCCCGCCGCTCGTATAATGTCCCCCCAGCTCGCATTTCCCTAAACGCACATTAGGCGGGCACCAGATCCACAAGGACCAGGAAATAGATAAGAGCGGCCGCCAAGAATGCGGCCCGGTCCAATAAAGCAGCCAGCGGATGCCACGGCCCGGTCTTGGGAGGCACGCAGAGCACCGTGCGGGTCACCGGCGACGAGCCCAGAAAGGCCGAAATCGGGGCCAGATAGGCGGGCACGGCCGCCTCCGTCGAGCACAGCAGCCGCAGCACCGCCGTGATTAGCACCGAGAACAGGTTCATGTAGATGCCGTCCCGGTAGAATTGACCTGTCGGCAAACACAAAGTGCGTTTTCATGCTTGGTATACAAAGCAGAGTTGATGGTCAAAAGCGTTTTTGAACGGCAAAATACGTCGAGATACGAATTTGTTTAATATTTTAAAATGTACAAGGCACAATTTTTGAATTAAATTATTTGCCAGAGTGGATCTAAATTTAAACAAAAGTGCTTATTTCAAATATCTGATTTTATTTCAAATGTTTTAATGGGAAAAAAAATAAAATGCTAAAATATAAACAGCAACAAGCAATAGTCCGATAAAAAGTGTGAGCCGATCCGATAATGCTCTGGGCCAAATAATAAAAGGAACAAAGAACTTCAAATTATTTTTAATAAATAATGTAATGCGAATAATAATAATAATTCTTTGCATATCAAACTAATTGGAAGTAAAAAAATTGACTACACAATAACCTTTTTGATTTATTTGTTTTGCAGTTATATAGTTATTTTATTGCAATTTTATTTTAACATAAAAATAATAAAATTTTATTTTAAAATAATTTATTTTATTTGCTTTTACATAAAATTTGTTATACCATTGATTTTTCAAAGGTTTTTAAATGCAAAACAAAGTTGAAATTTATAAAATATTCTAGCAGTTCATTTTATGATATGTTCAATTGTAACCTTGCGGACTCTGCATTCCACTTTAGACGAACTGTAGTATTGAGAAGCATTTAATGAATTTTATTGAAATTAAGTTATTTTGATATTCAAAAGGAACGAAAAAATCTCAAGGTACAGTCTGAGCACGATTGTCGCATATCACAATTAAAATTTCTTTGTAAGACTACAACATTTTTTAGTAAATCAGGAACAATTTATTTCTGTTCGCATAATAATATTAAAAAAATTGTGTGTTACCTATTTTCGGCACAGTGTCTCCACTCCATCCCAAAATATCAAATCCTAAGTGCTGTAAAAACAAGGCATTCAAAGTGAGCGTGACCATCGTCATGGCAATCCTGAGCAGTCCTCTGTCCCTGGGCAACCAAAACGGACTCAACGACAGCAGAGCGATAACTGGAAAAAAATGTCGAATTCAACACGTGGTGCCACATTTATCAAAAACGAAGCCGAAGAAGTGGTGCACTCGCGAGGAAATGAGATGCAAATTTATCACTCGAAAAGTGTAGTGCTGGGTGGAAAGATGGATGCAATGCGGTGCACATGTATATTTTATTTATATGCATCCACGACCGATAACATCTGGGCCTCGGCGCAAATACAAATGGGTCACAGCAGCGCCCTGCTGCAGAAAGGGTTGTTCATTCCCTTTGAGGAACTGAAGACGAATGGCGCCGACTGAGGAAAGCAACGCGCGATGTAATTGAAAATATATATTCCCGAGACTTCAAAGGGCGGTCACATTTTACAATGCGCGCTGAATTTAACTTGTTCGCTCGAGGAACGAGGCCATAAGTCATACTTTGTCAAGCAAAAGGGGCTTCTTTGACTTCTTTGAGGAACTAGTATGAATAATAATAGTTTTCCTCGCAACGAGTTTATAATAAAGGCACAAAGAACTGGTAGAGAGAATGAGGCCAAGTCACGGCAAAGTTTACAAATTATTTTGTGTATTTCTTTGAGATTTAGAAATGGAAAATAAAACGATCAACGTGAATCTTGCCACTTAATTAATTCATCCAAAAGTGTATTGCTAGTTTTGGCCTCAATATTTGAAAAAGGTTTAGATTTTTTTACAGCAATAATTTGTTTCATCAGTTTTTTTTTGTTCAAATTTTGGAAGTATTAATAAAAATCTTTTAAATTTCCACGATCTGTCAATAAATTGCGCTTTATATATATATAATTAATATACCATACTATACATGAAGAAAATTTTCTTCGAGTGAGGAGTCTTTTGAGATCAATTATTTCTATTTTCTAGGCACCAGATATTGGCTATAATGAACGGCTTCATTATTAACAAATTTAAACTTGGTAATGCATAGCAATACCTTTGACTAATCAAATTCAATCTAATTTTTTTACTTGTAAGAAAATCATAAAATAAATTATTGAAAAATTAATAAATGATTTAATTTTATAATAAAATAAAAATGAAAATTATGGTGCATAAAAAAATTAATAAAAATGCAGTTTTTTGATAAAACTTAATAACTTTGTTTAAAGTAATGATATATAGTAATAAATTTACATTACGTTTTTCATTACGTGTTTTAATTTAAAGTTTGTTGATATTTTTATGATATTTTATTTATCCAAAAGCAGTATCGTATTGGAATAAATCAATTTAAGTTAATTTTCATCTGTGGTGAAATCCTATCGATTTTCATTTCAAAATCATGATATTTTGTTGCAAATGCTCAAAAATTTAGATTATTGAAATCAATTAGATTTGTGGATTATTAAAATTTTATAATTAGAATGTTTGAATCCCAAACTCACTCATGGCCGGTGCAACGTACTCATTGTAGTGCCCCATATCCTTCCTCTTCAGTTCAAAATTGTACCTGATGTAAATGGCGCCACCGTGTCCGATGGGTTGCGGATTGACAGTCACATTTTTGACGAGCCATCTTGGATTGTTCCTAAGCAGGTTTAGAGAGTATCCGTTCTTGCCCATGGTGACCAAGTTCACGCGAGTCTCAGCCCAAGCACCAATGAACAACTCGCAAACTTGCGTATCGTGAGGCCACTCTTTGTAGTCAAGTTGACAATAAATGGACACGGAAAATCGTCGCTTGCAGGACAACTTGCCGCTTGGGTATAAATAGCACCTGCTCCCGGCGCCGAACAATTTTGTGGTGAGCTCCACGTTATAAATGGTGATGTCTGGAACCTATTAAATTCATATTATTTAATTAATCACCACTCAAAATGCTAACCTGATCGAGTATAAGTTAGCCTAACCAAATATACTTACAATTAGTCAACTAAATCAGCAAACTATAACTTGGCCTATAACCTATTAAAATTCAAAGCTAAGTCAGTTGACTTGGTTATATGAATTCCGCTCCTACAATTTTCATTTGGCTTTAAAGCCGAGGTCTGAAGTTTATGTTAAAAAGTCAACAAACAATTGACCACTTTTTTAACCTGAGTTATTAGATAAGAAGCTAATTGTAAGTTGACTTTGACTCGTCCTGGTAAGGCGTTTGGATAACCCTTAATTTAAATAGTTTCAATTATTTGCTAGAATAGTCGAATCAGAAACGATTTGATTCCATCGGTGGCCATATTGTTTTGCAAAAATTGAGCACGCCTAGTTAAAAATTTTGAATTTCTTACCCAAACCTCATCAGCCGTGACAACAAGATTTTTTATATCGTCGGGGTTGTCCGTGTACTTCAAATAATCGTCCATCCAGGTGGCGAAAAGGTTTGCCTGGACGGTGACCATGAAGTTCTTCTTGGGCTCGATGCGCTTTATGACGAGATAAGTCGACACATTGACCAGAGCACTGTTGTTCTCGCGTGGCAGCAACTCCTTGTTGTAATTTGACAGAAGATTCCTTCTGAGAATCGTCTCGGGTTTTTGGCTCCTGATTAGCGATAATTGGAGCAGCACGAGGCATGCCAGCAGGAAAGTGGAGGAATAATTGCGCGGCTGGAATTCCAAGATCATCTCGCCTGTTGAGTTGGCCGAGCGAGCGAGATGGAGAGGAGACCACTTGTGACGAACTGCGACTAACAACCTCATTAACGCCCAGTCACGGAGATAACCCCAGAACGAATACACCCCCTCAGAGATAATGCTGAGGTTTTTTTTCTGATGAAAATAAAATTAACAAAAATATAAGCGCGAACTTTTGATAATATTCATAATATCTGGCAAAGAAAATATTTTTGAATCATACAAATTTCAAACAAAGATTCAAAAAGCGCAGGAATTTTTTTTTATTTCAATTTCATAAAAGGCAATAAAAATAATAGAAAAATATGTATTTTTATGAGAGCTCTTTCCTTCCAGTTTGTTTTTCTGCAGTCGTAAATTCAGCCTGGACTTGAGTTTATGTTGCACGTGTCCATGTTGGTTCGGTCCAGCGCCTCCCCATCCAACGCGTAACCGAATTATTGCGCAGTAAAATCTCATATTTTTATATCGGAGAGTCCATTTATTTGAATGAAAACAAACGTACGCGTGTAAAATAACCGAGCAAATAAATAATGGTCCGCGTACGGTTTACGCTCGACGGAATATTTTTTCTCGTTTTTCGCCGGAAAGCGAGAGGGCGAATCTCTCTCTCGTCACAGAGGACAAATCCCTGGCTGGCGCCGATAAATAAATTCCAGCTTTTCGCGTGTGTGTTTCGCAGATGTGTGCAGATCGAGTCCATAAAGCAGCTCGAGCGTGCGGGGCTCGGCGGCCAATTCTCGCTGGAACAATACCGCGTAATTCATTCGGCGAAATGTAAATCACCGCCGCCTCTCTTTCCGCAGTGGGAAATTCGTGCCAAACTTTCACGCGCCGTGCTGATTTATTCGCCTAAACAAATTGTCAACGGTCTAGCAGACTTTTATACTGTAGTTGTTGGTTCTCAAAATAATGTAAAGAATAAGCTGGAAAATTTAAAGAATTGATAAAGTTTCAAAAATAATCCAAAATTAATTTATTTTAAGAAGTTTTGAGAAAATGGAAGGCCTAAAATAAAGGGTCATTCATGTATTTTATGCGAGACTTCAATTGAAAGCCCAAATTTTCATTTACCATACTAAAACGAAGAAGCATTCCAAATAAAAAAAATCATGCAACTCTGACGTAGAGTTAAAAATTAAAAACACTGCATTATTAGTTTCAATCACAGTCTGAAACCATTCGCAACCCCAGAGAGCAAGGAAAAAATTCAAATTATTCCAATATTATGACAATATTTGTTTAATATTATTTTACCTTTCATTACATTATTTCCAATCAAACATCCGATTAATTTTTACAAATTATTTGACCTTAATTACATCATATTCTTTATTAAAGTCAACAAGTTATACATTTATAGGATAATTCCAGAGCCTATTTTTACAAAGAATGTTTATTTATATTATCTGATTGCTAGTGATTTAAAGAGAAGATGAATATATTAAATTTAGTTTCTAATTTCTCATATTTTTATTCTCCATTCAAGTAATAATATTGAAATAAAAATTATAAAATTAATTCAAACTTCATAATAAAGTTAATCTTTAATATTTTATTAAAATTTAAATTTTATAAAAACAAGAAAAATTCTGTATATTGGAATCTCAGCAATTTATATAAATATATATTGTAATTTTTTTTTAATTAATTCAAATTTAAAGATTAAAAAATTAGATGCGTTTCCCTCATCATGGAAAAATTGCTGCCTCCATTTGCAATACAAAGAAAGGAGCCCAATTAAAAATCCTCGCGGTTACACGGCGCTTGGAAATTCAAATAAGACCCTTGCACCCCTCGAGAGTCCGCTGCTGATGGGGAGGGTGAGCAATAATAACTCGCGCAAGTGAAGAAGAAGTGCGGCTTCTCATCCATCCGTCGAGCGTTGCGCGCATCAACAAGTGGCGCGCCCGGTTCATGCATTTCAAAACTCGGTGAGGAGTAACAACTCTGGTGAGCGACGAGGCGGCGGCGGCAGCCCCTCGAACCAGCGTTTTTCAAGCTTTGTTTGGCCAGCTGATAAGCGGGAGCAAAGGGTTAAGGAGAGGCTGCGAAACAAAGGAGGTTAGTAGCGAATCAAGCACCGCGAAAAGTGTGCTTCGGAGAAGAGTTGGTGAGTGAGTGACGGGGCCACGCCAATTTGCGGCAGCCGCACTCTTTGATGGGGCAATTGTTGTCAAATTAGTTCGGGGTTAACTGATGGAATGAAAACTTGACTGGAAAATTAATACCAAACCAGTACTGATTAATTTCTAATAATAATTAAATCCGAGAATTATCAGCGGGGGCTCATTGCATCAGGTTATTATGATTAGAAAATGTCAGGAAAATCTTTGCGAGCGTTGCCTGCCTTTTGTCCAACAATTCAATGTTTCCCTCAAAACAATTGTTTATTATTCAACGTATAAATTTTTAAAACAAATTAGCCGAATACTTAACATATCAACAGAAGAATGATTTAGAGACTATTTTCAATGCAATATCTTTTTATTTTTTCTTATTTATAATTAACTTTATTCTAAATCAACTAAGATTGTGAGATCCTTCAATATGATTTTCACCACTGAATTGCCATTGTATAGCAAATTTAATGCTAAGACGTGCTGTTTTAAATATAATAAAAATTATGTTTAGTCATTTTTTTATTTGAATAGTTATTGAATGTTAAAACGATAATAAATATAATAATATAAAATATATCATTTAAAAATTTTAATTTAAAACGATAAGTTTAATTATTTGGTAAATGGTTGCTATTAAAATATTCATTAATCTTAAAGCTTAACATTTAATTGGCTAAGATGTAATTTAAATTATAAATTAAACAAACTACTAACGACAGGCCAATTAAAGTGCTAATTGTAAGTGCTAAATATTCCAAATATAAAGAAAATAAAAACTATGAACGTTTGCTGCAAAAAAGTAGGAATTTTGCTACAATTTGAAATTTGGATAAATTTTTGTGATAAATTGTTACAAAATTAATTAAAATTTCAATCATTTTAAATTTTAATATGAAGTGGAGCGGAACAAAATTTTTATGTGTTTCTTTTGAATAAAGAATGATGAGAGATGTCAAAACGTGTATACTTTCGGGGATCAAAGGGTGGTGTGTGTGTTATCGGCAGTGGCACATTTGGCAGTCGCCGAGGGCGGGCAGCGCGATGCAGAAATGCGAAATGATCGGGCGCCTCCGTGCGGGGCGGCGGTGACGCGTCTCCTGGGAGCAAATGAGACGGCACCGTGATGAATGGGGCATTGATTTCCTCGCCATCCTGGCGGCCCAGCAGCCGCGCTGATGTCTACCGGCGGCGCGCCTGCATGCTCGGCAACCCGCTCCACACACAGCCAACTTTGCGGATCAATATATGTGAAGAGGCGGAGGGTTGGCGGGCGGGCGGGCGACGGGGTGGCTCTTCCATCAGCTGCTCCTCCGTGTCCGTCCTCAACATCCACGTCGCGAAAAGTAGTGAGACACTCGCCGCATTTATTATGTATTGAAATTCCGTTTGCCTTCAAGAAAAAGAAAAACATCAGAGTGACCTGGAAATGTGAAAATCTCTTTAATGGTAAATTTCCGATTTGGCACATAATAGATCAAAGAAAAATTCAGGATTTAATCAAAAACAGAAATAGGAGAGAAGATTTTCCATGCAAATTATGTGAAAATAGTTTTTTTTATATATATATAATATATATATTGGTTTTCAAAATTTTTTGATCATAATTTTGGTACAAATTGACTTTTACCAGTGAAAATAATTGAATAATAAATTGATCGATAAATAAATCACACAAATCTTCCTCTTCAAATAGTGCATTTGAGAATCATTTAAAAACAAAAAATAAGAAATAAAAGTGCTTATGATAAGATTTAAGAAAACTATCAATCAAATTTGATGGTGAGCCGAAATATTAAGACAAACTTCAGTTGGTAAAAACTCGCAAAAATTTTAAACTCTAACAAAAATAAGATAATAACAAGCCGGAGAAAAGCAAAGTTTTAAAATTTCTGCAGAAGTTTTCCTGGTTGTTGCTGAAATTTCTGTAGCTTGCAGAGAGAAAAACTATTAATTATTTATCCTGCTGAATCTACACAAAAATTTAAAATAAGAAGAAAGGGCTTTCAACTATCAGTTGTCTGCTTAAATGCTCAATTATGCTTTTTTTTAAATCAAATTTTATTTAATTATTATTATTATTAAAATTTTAACACCCCATATTATGTATTAAAAGTATCTTACTTTTCATTTTTTTTTTATGTATAAAATGTTAAATAATTATAATTTTTATTTTATTTTCCTATACGTTTACAGCAAACTTGCGTTGTATCAATTTTAAATTACTTTAATCTGACATAATTATCAGTTCAAAATATATAAATATTACAACTATCGATTTTATTGATAGCAAGTGGTTAATTTAACAATTCCTGAACCATGAGTTGCTATTTCTCTGGACTTAACAACATTAAAATACATGCATAGATCTACAAAATAAATTAGTTAATGATTAAAAGTTATCCTTTCTGCCATTATGATATATAAAATAAGATGCAACATTTTACTTTGATTTCCAACAATGGCAACATTTTATTTCTGAAAGTCTGAATGCAAAATCATTGGATATTTTTAACTGTGAATTGCGCATTTGCACGCACTCGTCGTACCACTGAAATCATTCCGCCTTTTCATACAAACAAATTTTTAATTTGGGCCGACGGGCACGAATCCATTAATTCCACGCGATGCACAACATCAGAGCCGCTCTCACTAATTCGATACTAATATAAAAAAAAAACACTCCATCATTTTTTCGAAAAATCGCCGCCATCCAGCTTTGATGTGTTCCGTCGATTGCAATCAAAGAGTCGGCAAGATGATTGAATAAATCCGCCGATGATTTTTCCATCAGCCGATTTCAATTTCCATATCCGGCAATAATTATTATTGAATTTCGCAGCACAGATGAAAGCCTCGCCGGCACACGTAAATAATAAAAACTGGCCGTAAATATGAGCGCCTAAGTGCGAACGTGCGTGG